CGGATGGATGGATGGAGAATACGATCAGCAAAGGCCTGGGGGATTCTGTCAAGTGGCAAATAGGACTTGACCCGGCCATGAGCACTGGCAAAGACAAGTGTCTCCCGGGCTCATCCTCAGCAAGGGAGAGAGGGAATGCTCCCCGTCTGTTCCACTCTCCCGAGACACCCTGGAGCTGTCTCCAGCTCTGGGGTCCCAGCACAGGACAATAGTACTGAACTGAGGGTGGGGTGAGGTTGGACATAGGGAAGAAATGTCAGATCATGAGAGGCTGGCAAAATTACCCAYAGAAGCTGTGGCTGCCCCATCCTGGAGGTGTCCAAGGCCAGATTGGATGGGGTTTGGAGCAACCTGGTCTAGTGGAAGTTGCCCTGCCCACAGCAGGGGGTTGGAATGAGAGGAGCTTTAAGGTCTCTTCCAATCCAAACTGCTCTGTGACTGTATCCCTGCTTCAGGCCAGATCTGCCTGGGGCAGGGGCAGTTCCATTAAGGCTGTAGATGAAGTAGGTAAGCAGAAGATGAATTGGGGGACAAGTTGTGAGTGCTTTCTATGTCCAGAACATGCCCAGACACCTTTCGCCAGATCCCTTGCTTTGCTGGGACTAAACCTGCTTCATCTTCAAAGTCTGCTGAAGTCTGGGCTGTCTCTTGATTTCCCATCCAAGGGAAGCTGGGAGTGGATCAAGGAGCAAAGAGAAGACAGGGGAACAAAGTCAGTCTGAAACACTCACATGTCCTCTCCACTGCTCATCCCAAAGGAGCATCACACAATCCTGAGCCTGCAGCCACAGCACTACTGCAACTCCTGATCTTCAAGGAAATCTGCTCCCTGCCCTGGTGGGACCAGGCACCAGAGAGAAAGTAGCCCCAGAATACCATTGCATAGTGGGAAGTGGAGCTGAGAGGGCACAGAAAGCCGTGTTTGAGGCAGACAGCTCCAATAGGAACCAGCTCCAGCCTCGTTCTTCCAGCAGCACTGGAGCAGCAGCTCTTTGGAGCACACTGGGCTTCCTCCTGGGACACACACCCAAAGGACCTGCTGAGAGGTGAGGTTGTGCTTACTGGAGAGCACAGAGCCAGCTCAGAGGAGTCCAGCTCAGAGGAGTCCAGCCAGCATCCTGGCACCCAGACAGCTCCAAACTGTCTTTTTGGCACAGGACTGTGATACCTCAACAGCATCAGACAAAGGTGAGCAGCTACAGCTTGCCTCCTTGCCCATCTGACACATCTCTCCACCAGAAAATGGTCTGCTAGCAATAATAGAGGCCACTCTCCGAGGAACTCCCAGCAGCCAGAGAGACTGAAAAAATTCACCCAGGCCTCACACCCTGGTGTCCAATGCCACCATCCTGTGCGTACACAGCTAAAATTATGAAGCTGGAGGTCAAGTGCCCATGGAAGTGAACCTCCCCTTCTGTCCTCGTGCAGCTGTAATAGATTCACTTCCAGGTCTGAAATATTTATTGGGTCTCCCGAAGCCTGRAGAGATGAGCTGAGCTGACAGGCTGAGAGACATGACTTGGGATTTGAAGATTTACGTCCCAGAGGCAATTCACTGAGCGAACAGCCTTCGTTACATAACACAGTGCTGGAGAGCAATGGAGCATGGTTGCTGGAGGGATGCGATGCTCAGAGAAGAGGAATGGCAAAGAAGCCCTTCCTGACCATTCCAGGAAAAAAAACAAACATGATTTCCCTCCTTTCCGCCTGGAATGCCACCCCAAAGCCACCTCCTCTGGGATGTGGCCCAGACCAAGGAGGAGCAGCTGCTTCCAGCGCCAGGAGCAACAACAGTCACAGCACTCACTGGGAAGGATTTTAGCAATGGGTTTACCAGGAGCTGTGACTCAAATCTGGAGTATCACAGCAATGGCCCCAACCCAAGGAGGAACACAGCCCCTCAGCTTCTCCAAGCCCACCCCAGTCCCACCATGATGCTTCCCAGCTGGGTGGGGAGACCTACCCAGTGCTCCCGCAGATGGATCTGAGCCTGTCAGAGCCACAGGCTGTCACCTCATTGGCTCAGTGGCAAAGCCAGCCAGCTGCCCACCCACTGGGCTCCAAAATAAGCCCAGACAGCAGTGGCAAGGCAGATCCAAGAACAGTCTGTGCAGCCAGAAGAGGGATCAGCGGGAAGAGAGGGATGAGCCCTTCCATGAGACACAGATCCTGCACCTCCACAGCGAGGCAGGTGGGTAAATCCAGGTCTCACACAAATACCTGGACCTCACCTTCTGCAAACAAAGAGCACCAAGGGATTGCATCTACCATTTAAGCACAGCCATTTAAGCAGATTCCAGTGAGATTGTAGCCATGGAGTCCCACTCTTCTATTACTGACCCTGAGAAAGCAGCTATTCACCAGCAGCCACTACACATCTCCATCCATTCCTCCACTCAGTGCTCCAACAACAGTGCCAATCACTGCCCATCCACTTTCCAGACTACCAACCCAGCTCTATCCCAGTCTAAAGCCCCACTTCAAAATCCTCCAGCTCCAGAAAGGACTTGCTGGTGGTGTTTAAGGAGTTTGTATTTCTGATAGAGAAGCTACACCCAGAACAAACCAAGCTGCACAGCACATGTGCCTCCAGACAAGGATGAGAAGTCCTGAAGGAACATTTCACATCATCTTGCAGTGAAGGTTCCACATGATGCTAAAGTAGTTAAGAGATTACCAACAAGTAAATGAGGTGCTGTTCCAGAGAGGACAAGCTGCATCCCAAATCCCTGCAGAGGGCAACATCTTGCCCTGATGGCCATCCCAGGTGTCACACCTCGTCATGTTAAACAGCAAACCCCAGTGAGCACATCCCAAAACCTGCCTCTCACAATCTACATTTTAGTGCCCTTTGGCTCCATTCTCCTCCCATGCCTCATGGGAACTTGCTTCTGGATTTCCAAATTAATCTCAATAAATTCACAGCCCTGGGTTACAAACAGCTTTGCATTTATGAGCAGGTTCTCTGTGGGTTCAGGAACACAGGAGGGTGGGGATGAGGCTGCCAGCACAGACAACCACCTGGAAGAGAAGGTCCAGAGGTGGCCACCAAAATGGTCCAAGGGCTAGGCCAAGGGGCAGTGGGGTCAGATTGGACATGGGGAAGAAATGTCAGACTATGAGTGTGGTGAGGAGCTGGCAAAGGTTGCCCAGAGAGGTGGCTGCCCCATTGYTGGAAGTGTTCTGGGGAGATGGGRCAGGGCTTGGAGCAAGTAGCCCACTGGTGCAAATTAAGGTGTCCCTGCCCATGGCACGGAGGTTGAACTGGATGAACTTTGAAGATCCCTTCCAACCAAAGCACTCCGTGATTCTGAGCCCATACACCTCTGAGCCCTATCACATCTCCTGGACACACCACAATGCTACAAATCACTAATTTCTGATTAATGTGTGGCCTCCTCTCTTCCTGTCCAAACAATTCTTGATATGAAAAATTGAATTCTCTACAATACCAAGGCAAAGTAATGCTGTAAAACAAAAGCAGAAGCATTTCTGATGTCCTGGATGCTTCTGAAAGTCATGGCAACATCATCACATTTTGTTCATTGCAGGTCTCAGACTTTTAAACAGTTATTATGCTTTTAGGCTACAAGTGCCCTTTGCAGCGCCCAAGCGGACCCCGTGCCACTGCAGCAGCCAAGAGCACAGCAGTGACAGCTCTTCCCTAAATACCCCCAAACAGGAACACTGCAACACCTTACACAGCAAGCACAAAGGCCTGGAGGATGACTGAGCAACAACTTGAGACACGTGAATTTCCTTGAGAAAATCCCTTGCTTCCAGGCTTGGCCAAGGAAATTTCAGCTGAGGAGCAGCTGCCAGAAGAGGCAAGCCTGATACAATTTAGGAATGGCCAGTCCTTGCAAGTAATTACAGTATCTACTGATTTGACATAAGGCTGGACGCATAGCAATGTGTATGTGGGCACCCTCCTGGGATCTCTAGGAACAAATGAGAAGTGGATGGGAGGAGGGTAGATGACCAGAAAGAGACCTGATCTCAGTTTTTCAGACAAAGCACTGGGAGCATGAGCAGCGCTCAGCCCACGACAGCAACACCTTTGCCAAAATGAGGGCTGCCCATGGCCCAGAGCCATCCTGCAGGGTCGACCTTGTTGTATTCAGCACCCCTGTGACACCAGCATCACGATGGAGGCGGGCAAAAGAGAGCCACCTGGGCTCACTGCCACACTGAAAGCAGAGCTTGGGCCAGCACAGCTGTTTCAGGGCTGTCCTTCAGGAGGTGAGCCTGGGCAGGGTCCACCCCCACTCCACAGTGCTCAGTCCTGCTTTCCCTACACAGCTCACCTCTCACATCCACAAGCTCCATAGCAAGGGCTTTGCAGATACCAAAGCTGGAAAGCCTCTGCTGACCTCAACACCCCCACAGCTGGTTCCTCTGGCTCTCCTGGGAGAGAACTGCTCCCACCTGGGGAAAGGGGACCTCAGCATTCACAGTTCTAACTCTGCCAGATCCCCCAGACACCAAAATTGGGTGTTACCCAGTTGCCACCTCTCGGGTGCTCAAATCCCTAGCTCCAGCTCCTAGCAGCAAATCTCCTCCCTGGAAGACCAGGCTGAGGAAGAAAGAGGTCCCTTTGACCAGTCAGCAACAAATTGTCCCCAGGACAGAGATGCAAGGTCCTAAGGGCCCACTGCTGGCTCAAAGAGGAACTGTAACGTTTCTGGGCCAAGTAGGTGACATTCAGTCTGTTCCACCCTTTCCCAGGCAGCCCAGGGCAAGACAACAGCCAACCACCACAAAAACACCCAGCTGTTCTTCCCAGCCTCTGCACTGCCTCATCCTTTCAGAAATCCCCCTCTTGCTGGACTCCCACTACCTGTCCAGGTTTTAAAGCCATCAGTCACCAGGCAGGTCCAAGCTTTCCCTCACCATCCAGCCATGGCCACCTGCAGACACAGGGAATTGTGCCTGGCTCCAGCCACCCCATCAGTGCAGCTACGTGCCTGCAGGGCACACAGAGCTTTCAGCTTACTCACTCTCATCAGGGTTGGGTGAGGCGAGAATGGCACTGTGCTTCCTCTTCACTTCCTCCACATTCTCCGAAATTTTATCGATGAACCCTCGAATTTCTTCCACCTGTGGAGTGATACAAGATATATGGTCTGTGACAGACCTGGACTTTTGGAAAGTGAAGGGATTTTTGAACCCTATTCCAAAGTAACCATGATATGTCTGAACCACAGCAACCATCTTCCTGGATAAATATTTTCCAGCTGGAAACTATAGGACCACTGAGGAATCAGATCTTCCCCATCCTACCAGCCAGCTCTGAGTCACAGCAGCAAAATACAGACTGTATGGCCTGTATTCTTTGTGACGCACTGAGAAACTTTTGGGATTTATAGAAATCAGCACCTGATCGATTCCCAGACTCTGCCCCTCTGCAAGAACACTGCTGGGGCTGCACAACCCAGGCTGGTAGCAGCTCAGTCCCCCATGGCTCCTTGCTCCATAAAAAACTCCAGAAAACCCAATCTGATCCTCACCCCTGATTCCAGGGAGGCCACTTTTTCCAAAAGATCCATTCTAGCATTTCCCTGCACTTCTCTACTACAGGGAGACACCAGCATTGTCAAGAAAGGAAACCTCTCCTGTGCTCTCTGCCTGTCAGGCTGCTCACCCTCTAACGCAGTCTTCTTCGGCTCACACCACCCCTTTGCTCATCTTCCTCCACTTGCACATCAGATTTATCCCAGTTCCCACTCCATTGCCTGCACAGATCCATTTTAACACCCCCCACACACATGCCATGCTAAGGGTGTGCTAAAAATCCGCATGCAGATCTTACTGCCACCCACATGCCAGAAGACAACCTCTTGTTTGGGAATGGGAGGCACAAAATTAAATCAATCCCATGCAGAGTCTGCTGCTTTGCAGAAGTGCTCTGGGGGAAGGCCTGAGAGCTGCGTGCGAGGCTCCCCTGCTTCCATCACCTGTGCAATGGCCTCGCTGGGCTCTGGAGGAGCAGAGGGAGCGTGAAAGCATCCATAGGGCAACACAGCCTCAGGTCTGCAGGTTCAGCACTCAGAGCAAAACCCTGAGCATCAGCTGAGCAGCACTAGCCAGGGCAGGCCCCTCAGCTTGTGGCAGCAGGAAGCCTGGGCCATGCACAACCCACCCTGGTGCCAGCAGAAATGTCTGAATCAGCTTCAAAGCTACACTGGAGGAACAATCCTCTCACCTGCTCGAAGAACTCATCCATGAAGCGATCCCGGTCCACGCTGACGGTGACTTCATCATCATCGTCACTGTCCTTTGCCTGCAACAACATTGAGAGAGAAAGGCATCAGAGTGCTTGCTGCAGAGTTTGCTGCTCCTCAGGGGCATCTTCCCCTTCTCCTGTGCTGACCTGCTCCAAGGAGCTGGGGCAAACACCAGCCAGAGTGTGGGACACCCCAGGTGCTGCCACTCCAAGCTCCCAGGGCTCTGAGAGAGCAGAGGACAGCCAGAAGTGAGGGATGGCCAAAACACCACAGCAGCCATTGCACAACCTCCATGGTGAGCACAGGATGCAGCTAAGGACACCCCACATTCATGGAGTGGGAGCTTCAAGGGCACCCTCAGCCCTGTGTGAGCACACCAGCTTTGCAAAGAGCAGGAATGGGAAACACCACAGATTTCACCATGGGAAACACCAGAGATGCTGTGACAGGAAAGCATGAAAGATGCTAAAATGGGAAACATGGGGATGAGAAAACACAAAGAATGTTGATAGGTAACATGAGGAATGCTGCAATGGCAAACACCAGGGATACTCCCATTGGAAAACACCAGGTATGCCACCATGGGATACATAAGGAATGCTGCCACAGGACACACTACAAATGCTGCTGTGGGAAAGTAAAAGGGATGCTGCCATGGGAAAGCACGAGGGATGCTG